AATGCTTTTTCCACCAAAAAAAAATATATAGCATATGCCGTTTGATTTTCTTTCTATTCTTTCGATTCTTTGCTTCAAACAACCGAAACAAAACAGAAAAAAACTTTATACAGTCCACATACATACACCAGTTCATTTGGTCAGTCGATCGGTATTCATGTCATATAATTTTTTGGTTGTTTTGTTTTGTTTTTTTTTTAAATTCCAAAACAAAAAATCTGAATACAGTATATTTATAACGATAGAGAATCTCTAAAAAAAGAAAAGAAAAAGTTATCTTCGTTTATTTTGTTTGTAAAAACCCAAAAATGACGATGATAATAATTTGGTTAACAGCAAGAATCCATTTCTTTCTTTCTTTTCGTTTTTTGATTGTTGGTAACTTTTTTGTTTTTGTTTTCTCGTTGTCACTGTTGTTTCTGATTCATCATGAAAATTTGTCAATTTAGGAAACTAACATTATTGAATGTGAATAATCATTGTTAACCGAAAAAGAAAAAGAAAAAGAAACGAGAAAAAATTCTAATTATTTCTTTTCCAAATTTACATTCGGTTTAGTTTATTCTCACTTTCACCCCCGTTGGTTGCAATTAAATTCTTGCTTGGAACAACAACAAAAAAACAATTAGAATCGAATGTTTTTGTATTGTCAATTTATAATTACAAAAAGAAAGAAAGAAGGAAAAAACTATTAGAAAACAAATCAAACAACAACATTTTTCAAATCATTCTTCTTCAAATTATTTTTTTTTTGACTTGAATATTTGTCATTATTTTTTTTCCCCCTTACGATATTGTTAACATTTTGGTTAACGCGTTCGCTACCGGAGATTTCGAAAAACACATAGAACTACAGCAAATAAACGACGCATATATGCGTCGCTGGTAGCGAACGCGTTAACATTTTTTTGGGAAAATCACAAGCATAAATCTTTTTTTTGGGGGGGGGTGTTAAGCATAAAAAAATACCGATTTGTTTCATACAAGCCTGTCCAAAAAGATGTAAAAACAAATTGGCTAACCCTCAAGAATGTTAAGGGGTCCAAAATTTGTATATTTCAATGATATTTTCTATATATTGGATTACATCCCCAAAGAAAAGCAAAAAAAAACAAAAGTATAATTTACACACACACACACACAGAATGTAAAAGCAAAAGTAGAAAAATGATCAAGAAATTTCTTTACACAAATGAATGATATGTATCGATATTTACAATATGGTTGGTTGGTTGGTTGGTGGTATATTTGTTGTTGTTGTTGTTGTTTTGCTTAGGTCAGCGGAAAACATTTCTTTCATTCATTCCATTCTATCATTTTCAACAACAACAACAAGAGAAAATATGTGAAATGAATTGATAGCAAGGGAAAAAAACACACACACACAGGCATTCACACTTAAAGAATTTTACCATTATCCAGCATCATAAACATCTCTTATATCTAACATCTTTGAAACTATCTAGCCACACAGTATAGAACAATCATCACATTGCTGAAAAAAAATCCAAAAAACATTAATATTTTTTGAAAAAAAAAGAAAATTTCAATTAATTACAAATGTAGAACAATTTTTTTGGGAGGGAGAAAAAGTAATGAAAATTATCGATGAAAATGGGATCCATTACAATGATGATGATTATTATTATGATACACTTAGGACCAATCGACAAATGATAATAATTTACAGAAAAAAAAAGTTTTCTGGTCAAACTTGGATACAAAAAAAAAATTGTCTTACTTCAAGAGTTGATATAGAGTTTTTATTTTTTCAAATGTTTTATTTTCCCATTGGTAACATTCAAATATATTTTTCCAAATTTTAATTTGTTTAACTTTTTTCGGTGTGTGTGTGTTTGATGATTATAAATAAATACCACGACTAGCAAAACAAAAATAAACTCAAATAAAAAGTGTATCAAATAATCCAATAAGAGTAATAATTTGCTAAATTGGTTACAAATATCAACCAGAAAACAGAAATTCGCATTATATTCGCATAGTGATGTAACTTTTCTGTTTCAAAAAAAACGTTATCACCATAGTAACAACATAGAGAAAAACATTGAATCAAAAAAAAATTGAAATTGAAAAATTGTTCAAAATTTGGTTATTTTTTTTCGTTGCTGTTTTGGTCCAATCTCATTCGGAATTAATCAGATTTTTCTAGTTTCGGGATTGTAATGAAAATATTATGATTATGTTGATGTTGATGAGAAACAATAGAAACTACCGTAACTACACACTAAACAGTTACTATTATCAGTTTATTTACAGGCTTTTAGTATAACAAAAAATGTGAATATTGGTAAAAAAAAGTCTAAAAATAAAAATAAAATACCAGCAGATATAGTGATTTCAATCGTATTATTCGGACAACAAACAAACAAAAAATTGAATTCAGGAAAGTTTCCCGAAAAGTTTACTTTGCCCGTAACGTTATTTTTATTTTTCTGTGAATGAACATAATAGACATTTTTCCTGGTAAAATATCAGAAATATCTTATAAAATACCTGATTTCTGATTATTGATTATGATGTTGATGTTTAGCTTTACTTTTTTTTCAATTCAAAACCTATCTTTTTACTACAATATCCAAATATTGAAACAAGAATAGAAAAAGAAAAAAGAAATTCAAATATTTGCTCAAAAATAAGTTTGGCTTCATTTTTCATTTCCCAAAAAAATACAATCTTTTTCATGCCATATCGAATTTCATTTTATTCCATAATATTCTCTCTCTCTCTCTATCTCTGTGGCAACTATAGAATCGGTCATGCATTCGTTTCTTCAACGTCGTTTATATATTTTTTCCACCATAATCATCATCATCTTGTTGTCGATAAAAGGCAGCCAAACAAAATATTTAATTAATCTTTATGATTTGCTTTCAGTTTTATTCATTCATTCATGAACAGAAAATATATGATATATATATCGAAATATAATTTTATGAATCGTTTCTACTATAGGAAAAAAAATGTATTGGAAAAAAATGAATTTTTTCTAGGTTGTTTTGTTATCCAGAATCAGACTATAATTCATTGACCTTATGTACACAAAACAAGAATAAATTCCAATTGAAAAATTGAAAAAAAATTATTCTAAAATAACTGATTTGGTTTTTTTTTCTATCTTTCATAACAGAATCGAGAGTTTTTTTGGGAACAGAATGTGGTCAACGACAAAACGATTATCACCATGATTATCATGGACAACAACAACAACAGAATCATTGACAAAAAAATGTAATGAAAGAATCATCAATATATAAAAAAAATCAGAAATGCCAGAAACAAAATCAAGAATAACAATTTCAAACAACAACAAACGAAAACAACAACAACAACATAAATATAGATGGCTATTAATCAATAAATAGCAATAAAAAATTATGACAGCAGCCATCGAAAAAGACCAATCAATTTTAGATTCATTTTGGTCATCATCATCATTATCATTATCAACGTTTTTCACTATTTCTAGTTGCTCATTACAACAACAACAACAACAACAACAAAATCATCAACAACAACAACAATTTCAATCATCATCATCAACAGAATCCAAATCCTTTTTATCATCATCATCATCATCATCATCATCNCATCTTGTTGTCGATAAAAGGCAGCCAAAAGAAATATTTAATTAATCTTCATGATTTGCTTTCAGTTTTATTCATTCATTCATGAACAGAAAATATAATTTTATGAATCGTTTCTACTATAGGAAAAAAAATGTATTGGAAAAAAATGGATTTTTTTTTTGCTCTGTTGTTTGTTTTGTTATCCAGAAGATCAGACTATATTTCATTGACCTTATATACACAAAACAAGAATTCCAATTGAAAATTGAAAAGAAAAAAAATTTATTCTAAAATAACTGATCTGGTTTTTTTTTCTTTCTTTCGTTTTTTTTAAATAACAGAATTATATCTGTCCAGAGTTTTGATTTTTTGGGAACAGAATGTGGTTGTGGTCGACGACAAAACGATTATCACCATGATTATTATTATTATTATTTTTATCATGGACAACAACAACAACAACAACAGAATCATTGACAAAATGTAATGAAAGAATAGCCATTATCAATATATAAAAATCAGAAAATGCCAGAAACAAAATCAAGAATAACAATTTCAAACAACAACAACAACAAACGAAAACAGCGACAACAACAACAACAACAACATAAACATAGATGGCTATTAATCAATAAATAGCAATAAAAATTATGACAGCAGCCATCGAAAAAGACCAATCAATTTTAGATTCCTATTGGTCATCATCATCATTATCATTAACATTATCAACGTTTTTCACTATTTCTAGTTGCTCATTACAACAACAACAACAACAAAATAATCAACAACAACAACAATTTCAATCATCATCATCAACAGAATCCAAATCCTTTTTATCATCATCATCATCATCATCATTATCATCATCTATAATGCGCTTCATTAAATTGAAACGCCATCATCAAAAACATCGACAACAACAACAACAATATGAACAACTAAAACGACGAAGACTACGAAAACAACAACAACAACAACAACAAATAATAAAAACGTTTCTTGAATCGTCTTTGTCATCATCACCATCATCATCATTGCTACTATCAATCGACCATGATTCTGTTATTCCGAAAAATAATGATAATAAAAATGAATGTGATGATGCTGTTGTTGTCGAAGAAGAACAAAAAGGTGATGATGGTTGTAACAAAATTTCCAATAATAATAATGATGGCGGATATCATTTACAATTACAAACTATAACCAAAATCAGTAATAAAAATATTAGTAAAAGTAAACATCATCAATATGACAAAAACAATGGCCATAATAAGGATGATCATCATCATCAAAATCATAGTGAAAAATTGTTAAGAACCATCATCATTGATCCGATTTATTCCGATGATGATGATGATGATGATGATGATAATGATGAATGTCATTGTTGTTTATCCAAATCATCATCATCATCATCGTTATCTTTAATATCAACATCATCATCGACATCAACATCATCAACGTCTGGTGCCCTTTTTCACCATCATCATCATCATCATAATCATCATTATTCACATTATCAAGGCTCCTCTTCATCCAGTCAATTGCTCAAGTCAAGGGCCAAGATGATGACAAGAGCTATAGTTCCAATATCATCAGTGACCTTATTATTATTATTATCATTATTATCTTCTATAAAAAATTTACTTTTAAATCATCATCATAATAATAATCATCGTTATCGTTATACATCATTATTATTACAAATTATTATTATATTTAATTTATTTATAAATTTTGGTGCTCAAGCAAACAATAATAATAATAATAATGATAAAGAAATTAGTGAACATGAGCCTGAAAATAAGTAAGTTTGAATTTTCTCATTTTCCATTTATCTATCAGTTTATTTCAGTTTACTTCATTTCATTCAATTCATTCGGGAACAATTTTTGTTGTTTGAACATAGATTTTTTAAAATCCAAGACAAACTTATAAACAGACAAAATTGAAAAAGACGATTTGCATAATCGAAAAAAAATCCCAAACATATTTATCATCATCATTCATACAGAAGAATGGAAAATGGAAAATTATTATTATCTTCTTTCTTTCTTTCTTTTCCTTTTTTTCCATTTTCTCTCTGTCTCTCTAATGAATTCCTGATGATTATATGGGAATTATTATCATTTTTTCTTTCAAATGTAACAAACAAACAAACAAAAACATAGTAAATGTACGATGCTTATACATACACACACACACACTTTTGAATATCAAAACCAAATCAAACAATAATCATTGAAGCAGAAAAAAAAATAAACCAAACATTGTTAACATTTATCCCAAAAATTCAATCACATCAAGAGAGAAAAAAAAAATAGACTAACGAAAAATTGAGAAAGGAAGGAAAAGAAAACAAAATCATTTTTATTTTCATTTTCATTTTAGTCACTATCAATATCAATAATAACCGATTGAAGTTTTTTGGGTTTTTTGGATTCTAAAGCAAAAAATTTGAATCATATTTTTTCTAATAAAAACTTTCTCTTTTCTTCTTTGAAAAAAATTTCAATCAACGAATAGATCGGACGCCTATAGTGATGCCGGTAGTAATATAACAAAAATTTTGGATGCCTTTTTCGATAGTGGCTATGATAAACGTGTACGACCAGAATATGGAGGTAAGTCTTTTTTTTCACTTGATTTTTGTTTCTCCCCTCCACCTCCCACCTCATTCCCCCACCCACAAGTTAGCTAGATTGATCTATTTTTTTCGTGCAAAATGCTGAATCTAAAAAAATCAAAAAATCAAAAATATCTAATTAGATTGAGTAAATTAAAAATGAAAATAAAAAATTTGTATAAATCAGTGTGCGTGTGTGTGAGAGATGATAATTGATGAATGTATGGTATCGATGATGTCGGATATTCGACAAATTAATACATCCTATAAATAATAATAATAATAATGTTTTTTCCATATGTCACAATAGAAAATTATAATTATAAGTTCAAATATAGTGATAATAATAATATGAATTATAATCTATTGTCACGCGACAGGAAATTATTTTCATTCATTACATTCAATATTCACATTTTTTTATTCATCCTTTTCATCATTTCTCGTTTATAATGAGAGATATGAAATGAAATGATGATAATAATACAAACCAAAGACAATATAATCTTGCCTTTTGTCATTAGTTGTTGATCAGTGTTTGGTTTTTTAACCCTTTTCCCTCTAAGCATCAATTTCTACATTTTTTTTGAATTTTGATTCATTTCAAATCAAAATTTCAACATGTTTTTTCTCCTATTTTGACAGCGATGTTATTCGTTTAGAATGAATAAAAACGTGAATTGAAATTATAATGATATCATTTATTATTATGATGAACAATCGATAATTGGATACAGAGATAGATTGAATTTGGTGTCTTTAGAATATATAATTAGTAATTTTTTTTCTTGCCATACATGTAAATTGCAAAATCATTTCGCATCATAGTATCACATTGTTTCAAAAGTGATGTGCGTCTAACCGTGTGCAACAAAATCAATATATTTGTAATGATGATAATGATAAACGGAACCCCTAAAAGTAATCGATAACGGAATTGACATTTAGATTATTTTTAACTACAAAATCATTACTTATTCGGTACATTTCTTTTCGGTATAGCTTTGTGAATGTAAATGTAAGGATTCAAATAATAATAAAAAATTCTTATTATTCACATCAGATCATCATATATACTCAATGTATTCGTTATGCACAACATAATCAAACAAGAATTATAAATTATTTCAATAGTTTTAATTAAGTTTCATTTGAGCTTACACGCGTGCGCTTAAATAGAAGCAAATCACGAATAAGTGGTTTTGATTTGTCGTAAAAAAAATAAAAAATTGAAATTTCTCGTTTAAACATTACGAACGACAATAGTAATTAATGTCATTTATGAATCTAAATTGTTTAATTGATAATGACTTTTATGGCGGTCGTGGTTGCAGGGTGTAAATTTTTTTCCCCATTGCAGTGTTATTCGTTCTCAGGTTATTTTATGTTTGTTCAAAGAAAAAAAAATTCTGATTATTGTTATTCTGGTTAAATCGATTGTCAATCGATTATTTGATTCGATTCATTGAACAATTCAATGGGTAAAAAAAAGGAAAATTAAATTGTGACTTTTGCTGTTGTTGTTTCAATAATTCAAAATTCACATCAACAACATGCAGAATATTTATGTATTTTTATTATCATTTTTTTTTTGCTTTTGGTTGGTAGAACATTATCGATTCGTTTTTCTTTTCTTTTTTTGGTCGTTGCTCGAATTCAATAGTTGTAATATTGAATTATGTAGAAACGAAGAAAAAAAAATAGTAAAAGTAAAACTTGTGACAAATTTCTTTCCCAAATTTCTTTTAGCTTCACAATCTACAAGCTGTTTCAAAGTTGTCAATTTTGTTGTTGTTGTTGTTGTTGTTGAAATCATGGCTGTTAAAATGAATTGATTCGAAATTGTTTCATTTTATTATTTGGGTCGTTGAATTTGTTCTTATTTTATATGTGGATACTTCCTTTTTTCATTCAGTCACAATTGATTTCTTTTGATTGACAAATTTTTTGTTGTTGTTGTTGTTGTTCAATGTGAAAATGACAGAAACAAAACCCCAAAACAACAGCAAACAAACAACAACAACAACAACAACAACAACAAGCAAACAAACAGAAATCATCCATGTTTTAAATGAAAAATTCTATCACTTGTTTATTGCATTAAAAAAAAGGTAGATTATGAACAAGAAAAAAACCATTATCAACCATATTATTTGGATTAATTTCATCAAACGATAATGAAATCTTATTAGATCAAAATAGACAATTTGATCTCCCTTATTACACAATTTATATGAACAAAATCACCAACATACAAACAAATTTTTCCATGTGAACGGAAATCATATGGCTGTTTCATTATTGAAACGAAAAAAAACTAAAAAAAAAAAGTTTTTATTTTTCAACGAATGGGATGTTGATAGGAAATACACAGACGAATGAATGGACGAATGAATTGCATCATGATGATGATCGTTTCACATAAAAACTATATTTATCTTGATGGACCATCATCGTTTCCAGGAACTTTTTTTTTGTTTCGTTCATTTGTACAGGCCGTTTGTTTCTCCGTTTGTTTGTTTGTTTGTTAAAAAGTGATTAGAATCACGCAATATGTGTGTTCAATGCATTCACAAATGTATCAATATTCGAACCGTATTCAATTTTTTTTCGGTTCTTTTGAATTCATTGACGTTGAAATTGAAATGAAAAGAAAAACTTTGCATCATAATCTAACTTTTGTTGTTGTTGTTGTTGAGTAACCTGATTGGCGATTGGCAAATAAAGTATTATTATTATAAATTCCAAAGAAATTTATTCGGTGCATTTTTACCCCTTTTTTTTCTCTCTCTCTTTCTCTCCCTTCAATTTCAAGTATGTTTTTCAATTTTGATTTTTTTTTCTGCTGTTGTTGTGTCCTATATTTGACAAAGCACTCAGATCAACTACAAACAAAAAGAGAAAGAAAAAGGCAGACAAACACAGACAAAAACAACAGCTTGAATCGATATATAATTAATGGTTTTCTATTTCTATCTCTCTCTCTGGAACAAAACAAATAAACAAATCTACGATAGATTAGATTCAATTGAAAACAAAAAAAAAGACAAAAAAAATCACATAGAACTTGGATTGATAAAACTTTCACTCATATACATTCCCACTATAATCAGGTATCCCATGTGATTCTGTGAATAATGGTTTAACAAAACAGAAAAAAAAAGAAAAACTAGAAAACTTAATGCATCAAAGTAGACAAATGATATGATTAACATCTCACTCTCACATTACATCCAACGAAAGAAAAAAAAACCAAACATCCGATCTGATAGTGGAACCAACAACAACAACAAATGTAATCATCCCATTCTATTTAATAGAAAAAAAAGAACACATCCCCCTTTAATGCAAATGATTTTAATTGTAGATTTTTCTTTTTCTCTCTTTTAAACATATCATTAAAACTGTTTTTCGTGTATTTGCATAAAAATTGTTTATAGCTTACTACATTCAATAGCATCATCAGTAGTAGTTTTTGGAGAAAAAAAATTGACATTTAAATTGGCTCAAAACTGGTCTGATAAGAGAAAATGTGCATTCTGTGTCTGTGTATTATCCCCCCAATTTTTTTCAGATGCTAAACACACAATAGAGACATACACACACAATCAAACTAAAGATATTCTTCTATTCTTCTATTCTATTCAATTCTATTCGAATAGTTAATGTATCATCATCATAATAAGGATGATGATGATGATGATGATAATCTTGATGTGAAAAGAAATTGTCTGGAAATGATATGAATGAAAAATTTTCGTTCTTTATAATGGATAACCATAGCCATCACTATCACTATCACCGCTATCTATTCTCTAGTTTTCGTTGATGGGCGTAATGTTTCGTATAGTTTTTCAGTTTTATGTTTTTTTCCCCATTCTTCTTCTTTTGTTAACCAGAAACAAAAAAAAAAAGAAAAGAAAAAGAAATACCACACACACACACACACATTTCATGGTCGTTTATCGTCCATTTCTTTATTATTTAATCTAAAATGATTATGCACACATAGACATTCGTAATTACTTAATACTTTATGATAATGATTATGTTTTTTTTTCTTGTTAAATTTGATGGTTTAATATATGTGTAGAGCAGAGAGAGAGAGATTATTTACCCCTTTTCTCTCTCTCTCTCTCTCTCTCTCTCTCTCTCTCTCTCTCGTCTTAACAGGCTCGCTACCAGCGACGTAT